TTGATTGAATAGCATTCTCAACAAGGTCCAAGATGAGTTCCTCTTTGGCTTGTAGTTCCAGGTGAAAGTGCTTCCAATCAGCCTTTTTGGTATTAAATCTAGTTGGTGAAGGTGGGATTTGGCTGTCTACTATAAGATCATCAACCTGAGGAAGCAATGCCTTGAAGGTGATAAGTTCATGGTCGGATCCAGTTGATTCCCCATAGTTCCAATCTTGCCATTTCAGCTGTTTAAAACCTGCAACAAATGTTAGATCAATAATAGATGTACACTTAGAATTTGCTCTATTGAAGGTGCCTCCATATTTCTCAATAACAGATGAAGAGTTTATTAGGTGAGCATTTGACTGTTCCAGATATTCAACTAAGTTGTTGGCAAGAGCATTGTAAGATTGAATCAGGGGATTCCACAGTTGATGGTGTAGATTAAAATCTCCAAGTAGTAAAAATGGTTTATCAAGCTTTAGTTGAAGATTAAGGAATCGCTTGACAGAATAATCAAAAAATGCAGGTGTCAGAGGTTTCTCATTGTACATGTGAATAATATAAAAGGCCTCCCCTGGAAGATCAACTTCCAGGATCTGAAAATCTGGGTCAGACACCAAGTCATATCTGGGCATTACCCTTATCTGGCTTGCTTTCTTTACATAGGCCATAACCCTTGGGCGGAGGTATTGATGTGTGATTGGTGGTATTAGTTGGTAAGATGAATGTATAATGGGTTTAAAAGTTTGTGAATGAGTGTCATGGAACAGATAAGGTTCTTGAATTAAAAGTATGTCTGTTCCCCCTTTGATGGACACATCAAAGAGGGACTGCAGGATCTCACGACCCCTTGCAGTGTTGTGCTGATTAAATGTGATGTGACTTAGCATGCCAATGCTTTGAAGAAGTCGCAATCTTGTCTTTGAAATGCCAAGTGGGTGTTTGACTTGCAATTTGCACACTGTACAGCATGATGAATGCAGCTTTGAGTGGAGCTGCATTTAGTACACTTATGGTCTGATGTGATATGGTGACCTAAGCAAATGGCACAGACCGGCTGCTTATTGCAGGAGATATGATGGTGTCCATATATAAGGCATTTTTGGCATTGTGTTCTCTGGGTTGCCAATTGGAAGTTTACTACCTCGAGGTATTGGCCTCCAATAAGAACACCTGACTTCAAAAGCTTGTCCTTTTCCTCCTCAGTAGTGACTGAGAATGTGATTGAGGCTTTTGGCCTCTGTTGATATGTTCTGCTGAGCCATCTTGGTTGCCCCTGAGTTTTTATGCCTTTATTGTATATTTCTATTTCTTCATTTATGGCTTCAATTGGAATGCAGGTTGGTACCCCATGTACCACCACTTTTGGCCAGTTAGTGATCTTCTGAGCTTTCTGAATGGGCCATCCTTCAAAAGCTTGTTCCCATTTTTCTTGGTCTAGTAGAAGTTCTGTTGGGGAAGAGTCCATACATGTCAGGACAACATTGCCCTTGATAGAGGTATGTACTCTAGAAATTGCCCTTTTTCCTAGGATCTTATTGATGTTTTCCCTAACTGTGAAAGGCTGGTAGCTAGGGAGGGTTGCACCTGATTTTGTGACTAAAGTTATCACATTTTCACTGTTGAATTGAATTGAAGCCAAAGGCTCCATTGTTGGTTCTGGTCTTTTGATATCTGTTTGATTAATGGCTGTTTCCTCACAATCTACAGTGACTGATTGTTGCAAAGTTCTACTCAAGACTTTCAGTGCATTGCTGGCTCTTGGCAATACAATTGCAGTGGCTGTTGGTGCCTTACTCTTTACAATATCTGCATATGATGTGATTGTTGATGTATTTGTGTTTGAAGATGTTGCCATTGGAATAGAGGGTGTGGTATTGGCTGTATGTGCAGCTTGGTTGGTGGGTGTCTTATCAGCTTTAATTAAATTTACTCTACCAGATTCAGTAAAATTTCGGAATACTTCAACCAAATCTAGAACTGCATCCTGATTTTCTTTGCAGTTGGTTAAATGGTAGGCTTTAACAACCAAATCCCTTGCTTCTTGTATTGCAGATAGGTAAGTGAAGTGATTGGTTATTTTAGGTGCAGCAATCCTCATAACTTTAGTAGCTTGGATAACTGTTGGATTAATTTCAATACACTTTCTCTTTTTTTGGGTTATGGGCATCAGTTTAGTTTTCGAGATTTCAGGAATTAGGCTTTGTGCAGTAATTGGGTCACTGCTGAAAGGGCTGTCCAGTGATTTTTTTGCAAAATTATTCTGGGTTGATTTAAGCAGGTTGGCTTTTGTTGATCTTTTTGAGCTCCAGATTGAGTCAGACAGCCTAGCAACATTTTTAAAATCAAAAGAATTTTTTGTTGGTGGAGAATATGGAATTTCTACAGAAGAAGATCGAAAATTTGAACTCATTCTCAATTGAATAACTGAAATAAATTTTGATTAATATTTTGAAAGTTTCTGATGGTATTTATTTTATAGTTTATTTTATATTATTTTTTATTATTGTTTTTTTTTAAATCTTTTTTGGTATATTTTTTATAATTGATTTTTTATAATTGCTTTTTTATAATTGCTTTTTTTTTATAATTGCTTTTTTATAATTCCTTTTTTAAATATTTCTTTTTGAGATGGAATGATATTTTCGATTTATTTAGTTATTTAAAAAAAAAAAAAAAAAAAAAAAAAAAGATATTTAAAAATGAAAGAGAAAGATTTGATCACGTGACTTGATTTGAGATCACCTGATCACGCGTCATGAACGCGTCGCGCGTCACGCGTCGAGCCTTGGCAAGGCTGGGTGAAAAATTTTCGTCCAGAGGGTCGAAAATTGCGTTTTGGTTGAAAAATAATGTAATTGATGGATTCAGATATCGAAATAAATATCAATCAAAAGCTACAGACCATGCGAAACTGAATATCGAGTTTATAGAGTTGTAGCTGATTTAAGGCGGAAGTTATGGATGAAATGGTGTGGTAATGTGGTCCAGAGTCTCCCAAATCAGGGTTTGATCGAAAAATATTGCAATATTGGGATTTAGGTGTCAAAAATTAGATGGATCAAAAGCTGTTGACGATGCGAAACCGAATATGCAGTTTATATTGTTGTAGCTGACAGAGGGCGGAAATTGTGCACGAAAAGGCGATTTTCGAAAGTGTGGTGGATTTTTAATCTGACTTGGTTGACTTGTAGCTTATGATAGAACAGTTTCCAATCAGCCTTTTTGAGATTAAATCTTGCTTGAAGACTTGAAGTATTCATAGTATTCATAGCCTGATCAGTTGTTGATAGATCTGCTTCAAAGGTTATTAGCTCATGGTCTGATCCAGTTGCTTGACCATAGCTCCAGTCCTGCCATTTGATGTGGTTGAAACCAGCTGCAAAAGTTAGATCAATGATTGATGTGCTCTTTGAATTTGATCTATGAAATGTGCCACCAAACTCTTCAATTACCAAAGGACAATTGAGTAGTTGGGCATTAGTTTTCTCAATATATTCAACTAAAGAGTTTGCAAGTGTGTTGTTAGTTTGCACTAATGGATTCCATAGTGGGTGGTGCAGATTAAAGTCTCCAAGGAGAACAAATGGTTTATCAAGCTGCAAGTGTAAGTTAAGAAAGCGTCGGACAGTGTGGTGAGAAAGTGCAGGTGTAAGTGGCTTCTCATTGTAGATATGAATGATGTAAAATGGCTCCCCTGGAAGGTCAACCTCCAGGATCTGAAAATCTGGATCTGATACCAAGTCATACTTGGGCATTACCTGGATCTGGCTCGCCTTCTTGACATAGGTCATGACCCTTGGGCGAAGATACTGGTGGGTAATAGGCGAAATTGCTTGATAAGCTGAATGTAAAATGGGTTGGTAAGTTTGTAAATGAGTGTGATGGAACATATATGGTTCCTGTACTAAAAGAATGTCTGTTTCCCCTTTGATGGACACATCAAAGAGGGACTGCAAGATCTCTCGACCCCTTGCAGTGTTGTGTTGGCTGAATTTGATGTGACTCAGCATGCCAATGCTTTGTAATAATCACAGTCTTGTCTTTGAAAAGCCGAATGAGTATTTGACTTGCAATTTGCACATTGAATTGCATGGTGCACGCAGCTCTGGGTTGCCTTGCATGTAAAACATTTGTGATCCATGGTTGTGTGTGCACCCAAACAGGTGTCTTTTTGCAACCTATCTGGTGATGTCCAAATGCAAGACACTTCTTGCACTGGGTCCTTTGAGTTGACAGTTGATAATTTACTACCTTAAGCAGACGTCCTCCAATGAGGACACCCACTTTGAGAAGGTGTTCTTTTTCTTGCTCATTGGTGACTGAGAATGTTATAGAGGCTTTGACCCTCTGTTTATAAGTTCGGCTAAGCCATCTTGGTTGACCTTGTGTTACAATATTTTCATTGAAGACTTCAATTTCTTCATTGATAAGTTGGATTGGGATGCAGGTTGGCACACCATGTACCACTAGTTTAGGCCAGTGGGTGACTTTTTGTGCCTTTTTAATTGGCCAATCTATAAAAACATGCTCCCATTTTTCTTGGTCTAGGAGAAGTTCAGTTGGGGAAGAGTCCCAGCAGGTAAGGACCAAATTCCCTTTGGTGGAGGTATGGACTCTGGAAATTGCCCTCTTTCCCAGTATTTTATTGATATTTTCCCTAATAGAGAAAGGCTGGTATGTGGGCAGTGCACTGCCTGATTTGGTGATAAGAGTCACCACATTTTCTGTGTCAAAACTGGTATTTAATTGATCTTGTAAAAGTGCAAGGGAAATAATAATTGTGTAAACCTTAATCCTTGCATGTCCTATGTTAGCCCTAATAAGCGAGCGACGCTAAATGGGTTGATTTATGGGGGAACACTCTATACTTGGAATATGTGTAACTTTTGTATACTTAGATTTATATATACCGAGTTAGGGTAATATAACTTCACCTTTTGAGAAAGGTTTTAATATGGTAGCATTATCTTTTTACGATCAAAAGAACTCCTTTACTTTCTTCACACAACGAAAATGTCAGGAAAACTGTCTAAAGCTGATCGCGACATTATTGCACAACAGAAAGACAACAATCTTGAGTCCGATCAATCGGTCGCAAGTATTTCGGGCAAGACAAGGCCCAGCAATTACAAGATGGACGAGTCAAGGTCCAATAGGAAATCCAATGTGAGAAGGAAGAATGTCGATAACGAGTCTAGTTCTTCGGCGAAAAGGAGCGAACAGTCCGACAGCGACGACGATTGGTGGAGTCCTCCTCAAAGGACATTACAAGTAACCACAGCAGAAATAAATCTCAGGTGGGATCAATTACAGTGGAAACCACACAAGGACCACTTCTTACGCGGCTCCCAGGATTGGGGAGTTTATAAAAATGACGTGATGTTCGCTTTGCAGTCGATAGGGTATGTTAAAGGGATCAAATTAACAAACCTAGATAAAGCAAATTTCGGATCAATGATCAGGAGATCAGTGACCGATAACCCAAGAAGAATCATTGAAGATTTAAGCAGCGGATCGGATATGATGAAATTACTCAACAAGACATATCGACAGTCTGGCACAATACAGGCTGAAAACTTTTTCAATGACCTAATAGAGCTGGCTTACGACGGAGGTAACGCCATCGATTTCGTGACAAAATTTAGAGTCTGCGTTAGAGACTTTAAATCAACTGGTCAGGAGTTAGCTGACAATATCACAATACTTATATTCAAACGTGCGGTCGAGAAAAGGGCCCACAGATGGCATTATGAGGCCTCACATACCTCAAAAACCAAACAATGGTCGTTGGAAGAACTGATCAACGATTTCATCTCCAACCACAGTCTCAAGGCTTTTCATAACACAAACAAATATTATCCCAACAGAGACTTTCGGGTAAACTACAACTTTGACAACAAAAGGGGAGATAAAGCCAATATTCGGCTAGGTCAAATTGAAAATAGAGGCAAGCTGGCCTTTAAACCTAAAATAAATCAGGGTGACAAGAACCCTGAGAGTAAGAACCAAGTTGTATGTTACATTTGTGGAAAAACTGGTCATTATGCAAATAATTGCCATAGCAAGAGGGGAACAACTCAAGGTCCTCATCGATGTCACATCTGTAGGGGCAATCACTATGCAAGAGAGTGCCCGGCTCGAAAGTCAGATCATGATCGTCCTTTAAATCAAATTTCAACGAAGGGTAAAGAAAAGATGATCGAGTATAATGTTGGTGATGATTGGTACGATGAGTGGATGGAAGAAAATGGGATAGTAAACAACCCAGAGATTGAAGAGACGCCACACTCAAGTAATGATGATAGCTCATGCTATGGAGTGAGTTTAAACTTTGCCCATCAACTGAATAACGCATCAATTAACTCTTTAATTAGAAAGAGGTGGCTGTTTGATACAGGGGCTGATATTAATGCCACTAACAACCTAAAGAATTTTGTCAAGGAGTCTGTAAGGAACTTAAGACCACGGGAGGTGGCAATAAGGACAGGCAGTGGAGTTATTTATCCAGAGAAAATAGGCGAAGTATGCCTCAAGGTCAGAAATTCAAAAAATAAAGCGAGAAGGCTCAGATTAAAGAATGTCTTTTATGTTAAGAATCTTCCCGTAAACATTATAAGCGGCGAATTGTTTTGCAGAAGTGGATGCTCATTACAAGGTGAAAAGCTTGTTGACAGTAATGGAAGTATTATATCTTTAATAAACGTCAATAAACGAGGATTTTTTCTCTGGCTTTCTGGAGAAGATGAACCAATGAAACATATCAAATCAGGATTCCCGTGCCAATTAGACAAAGAACACAACAGTAAAAATTCAAAAATTCCCTCTGACGAAACCATTAGAAACCTAACCTTGTGGCATCGAAGATTATGCCACCCAAGCGCAGATAGGTTGCGGTGGACAATTAAAAATACTACTGGCATAAACCTAACCCCGAGTGATGTTATCAATATACCATGTGAGGCTTGTGATCTAGGTAAATCTGTAAAATACACTACCAATGAGAGACGACGAGCTGAATACGTCGGAGAAGGATGGCACTGTGACTTGGGATCGAGCAACCCTAAAACCATGGATGGCAATAGTTACTACTGTTTAACGACGGATGATCTATCTAGATACCGTTTCCTCAAGCCACTGAAGACCAAAAAGGATGCGGCAGTTGAGTTGATGAACATCCTGAGAAATATTAACGCTGAACTGCAGCTTGAAGGGAGAAGAGTCAGGTGGATTACAATTGACGGAGGCAGAGATTGGGGCATGTCGAGATTTGAGGAATTCGCTGCAGACCAAGGTATAGATATCATTGTGTCCGCCCCAGACAATCAGCATCAGAACGGAGTGTCAGAGAGAGGAATTAGGTTCATACAGGACGCTGCCCGATGCTGCACAATTCAAACAAAAATACCATCGGTATTTTGGGACAAAATAATGGAGACAACATGCTATACACTCAATATGACATCTCAATCTCCAGTCGATCAGCACAAGACCCCATATGAAGTATTCTGGTCAGCTATGAAAGGCAGGCCGATTAAGCCAGACGTCAGTCACCTCTTAATTCCCGGATCAAGATGCATAACACATGTAGAGAAGTCGCGCAGAATTGCAGGAGAAAAGCTAGACCCCAGGGGTGCAAGGAGTGTGTTTCTCGGATACAAGGGACGTAAACAAAACTTGTATGGATATTGGGCGGTGGGAGATTCTTAGTCTCACCAAATGTTTTAGCATACGAGAACGTTGGTAAAAATTTGGGTTGGCCAACAGAACCCCAAGAAGTAGTGAGGTCATTGCCAACCAGCGTCCAACGTCGTTTGAGAGCTAGGAAAACCAACTATGCCAGAGAAGAGGACTACAATAGGACACGAAGTGTATCACCGCCACATGAACCTAAAGGACCAGGTCGGCCAAAGAAGACAATTAGAAGACCTTTTGACGAAGCACCATTGTTCGAAAGTCAAACAAGGAACAAGAACATGAGCCCAAGCATAAACAACGAAGATGAACGCCCAACAGAGGAGGACTCAGATCACGAGGAAGAAATTGGACAAAGTGCCCATTGCCTCATAGAAAAATCAATCAAGAGGCAACTCCATAACCTACATGGAGATGGAGACGACATGTTTAGGCTATTAGCTAACTCTTCATCTGTCGCTAAACAAATCGTATCACCAGATGAACCTAACCTGCAGGAAGCAATGAGTAGCTCCGAGAAAAACGTGTAAAAGTGCAAGGGAAATAATAATTGTGTAAACCTTAATCCTTGCATGTCCTATGTTAGCCCTAATAAGCGAGCGACGCTAAATGGGTTGATTTATGGGGGAACACTCTATACTTGGAATTTGTGTAACTTTTGTATACTTAGATTTATATATACCGAGTTAGGGTAATATAACTTCACCTTTTGAGAAAGGTTTTTATAGATCTGATATTTTACTTGATTTTTCTTAGTCAGCATTATCTATAGGGAGGTCTTTTGTAGTTGTTGAAGGTACCACTACAACTGGAGTGGTTGATGTATTTCTGCAACTGTTGATTTTGTGGCTGAAAATTTTCATGCCTAGCTTAGTGGGCACTCTGGTTTCTGGTTGAACACTTGGGATTCCTTCCCGAAGCTTTTGTGCATAAGATGGGACAGTGGGTGCCTTTTGAATGCATCCTGTGACCACCTCTACCTCAGGTTGAACTTGCCTCATTGGTGGCTCGGAATTGACTTTTCCCTCCTCAGTGAAGGTTCGAAAAACTTGGATGAGATCCATGACAGCTGCTTGCTTGATCTTATCATTTGTAAGGCCATATGATTTGACCAAGAGATCACGTGCCTCAAAAATGGCAGTTTCATATGTGTGTTTGATGGTGCAAGGTGCAGAGATCTTGACCATTTTTGTTGGTTGGAATGCCGAAAGAATTGTTGGTGAGACTCCTCGCTTTCCAGGCTGCTCAGAAAAGGGTGTCTTGTCAAAAAGATGTTGTGCCCCCAAATCTGTAGAAGTGATTGGGTCACTGCTAAATAAGTCAATTTTGTGGACAATTTGATAGGTCGAACAGAAGTTAACAGCCTTGAGGGCTTTGGTGATGCATCTTTGTTCCAGATTGATGATGACAACCTTGGGGCATTTTTCATATCAATTTCAGGTGAAGATGGTTGGCTCGGAAAACTCCCCTGTGAGGAGGGAGACTTTTGAGGCATTTTCAACCTGTTTTATGATGATGCAAGCAGGATGATGACTGAAGTAGAATAAAAAATTCGAAAATATTTTATCCTGATTTAAAAATGAATTATTGAGAGTAATATCACGTGACAATTGATTTGGGTCACCTGACTGAGCGCCAAGGCTGGTGGTTTTTTTTTTTTTAATGAAAATTAGAGAGAAAAGTCACGTGACTTTACTATTGATCACCTGATCACACGTCTGGAACGCGTGATGCGTTGAGCCTTGGCAAGGCTGAAGCGAAAATTTTTCTCTCAGAATGCTGAAAATCGGGTTTTTGGTCGAAAAATGTCGGAGTATAGGGATGCGAATGTCGAGAATTGTATCAATGGGATGCTGTGGAAGAGGCTAAACCAAATATCGAATTTTTAAGGGCGTAGCTGATGGTGGGCAAAAGTTGTGGATGAAAAGGCGATTTTCGAAAGTATGGTGACATGACTGTTGTTTGGATCTTGTTTGCTCATGACTGGTTGCCTTGATAAGCAGGTCCCTGGCTCCATGGATGCATTCTTCTGCAGAGTCAAAATTGCAATTTTGGTTGTTTGGCCTAGTGGTGATGGTGTTCCTTACTTCTGGTTCTGGTTCACAAGTTGCTTTCCTTTTGTTTGCTTGGCCTGAATTAATAAAACGGTCTTGAGATGCATGAAAATGAAAGTCATCACTCCGGACTAGGGCATTACAGCTACTCTCAGCTGCGATGTAGTGTGGCACAGCCAATGGATCAGGTGCTCCCATCTCCATTGCTTATTCAAATTTTTATTTTTTTAAACCTGATTATTTTTTTTTAAATATTTTGACAATTTAATTCAATTTTTTTGGAGCTGAAATTTAGAACTCTAATCAGGTGATCACGTGATAACGGATTTTTATTTTTCCTGATTTGACGCGTAAACGACGTGATTTACGCGTAAAATGACGCGAAACGCGTCTTGGACCAATGAAAATTTTTTACCCATGGTAACCACCTCTGACCAGAGATGCAAATCGTCGCAATATTGTTTTCAACTTCAATTATCTCAATGGATACTTGATGGATGGATATGAAATATGGATCCCCTGTAGATGTGTTATGGTTGAAGGGGTAGACCGAATTTGATACAGATCGGAGATGCTGAGAAATAGTTGTGGATAACAATAGTTGATTTCCCCACTCAGAACTGGTGGGTTGCAACCAATTCACCTTAGAACCTTGATAACTCAACACACAGATGACGCATTCGAATTCCGAGTCGATTTCCGAAGAGAGCTCAATGTAACTGACAATTTGATGTAAGTAAAAAATTGTGAGGACAATTTTTGAAAATTTCAAATGCTGCCATGCACTTGGATGTATCCAAATATTGTAGTAGTGCCTCCTTCCCCCTTTTTGTCCGAAATAAGGTTGGAAGTGACCTTGGCTCTATGCCCTTGAAGCATTTGTTCCTTTGATCTTTGAATTTTGGACACTGTAACAACAAGTGCTGCACATTCTGTCTTTTTTTTACCACAAAAATTGCAAATATTATTGTGAACTTTTCCTATCATATGAAGGTAGACCCTTGTATTTCCCATTCCGAGTCTTGCCTGAAAGAATCCAGATTCTGTTTCCCTGCTGTGTCCTTGGAATCTAAATAGTCTGAAAGAGAAATTGGGTTGATTAGTCTGGGCCTGGAGCCTGTAATACTTGCCAAGTCCTTTGGCCTTTCGACCTTCCTCCTCATGCCAGAGCTCCATGTCCCAATCTTTTTTCCACGCCTAAAGAATCCATTCCCTAGCCTGATGCTTGATGAATGAGTGAGAGGTAGAGTGGTCCCTTTTCATTACTGCCTGGTTTCGACCTCCTGCAGGTAGCTTATCAGCCAGCTAATTTCTTTCTATGCCAACATGAGCTGGACACCATTGGAGATGAACTGTGCTTTCATTACATATCATTCTGATCTAGTGACAGAATTGATTGCTATTGTGCCGGATTCGAAGAACGCTTGCCTGGCTATCAGTAAAAATATGTATATTCTCATTAGCAAAATATTTTTTAACATATTTTGCTGCTTTCATGATACAATAGGTTTCGGCATCTGTGATACCAATAGAGTCACCAAGGTTGTAAGAAAAGCATTTCATCTCTCTGGTGACAGGCAGGTAGATCACATAGGCTATACTGCTTCCAGCTGTCTTTGAAAGTGATGCATCAGTGTAGACTATAACATCATCCAAATGGATATCCTTGATTTGCTGGATGTGGGATATTTTTGTTGTTGCCTTTGAATGGTTAGATATAGTGGTGATGATATTGGATTGATGCCATGGTGGAACCCAGACAGCATTTAGCTGCTCTAAATTCTTCAGGGAAGCTAATGGCTTCAGAGCACTCCCAATCCTCATCAATTGGGTCACTGGTTTGTTGATGTAATTCAACAGTCCAAGGTCAATCTGATTAGTGCTTGACAATTCATCTTCAAGGGGACTGAACAGGGGTTCCTGGATAGGGCGGTTCTTTTGAAGTCGAAGCATCCTTACTCCATAGTAAATAACCTGCTTCTCATGCCATACTTTTGCTGGTAAAATTGAGGCCTCAACCTCTAAAGCTTTAACAGGACTGCCTCGGTATGCTCCAGTAATCAATGGCAGTGCCTGATTCTGAAGCCTTTGACATCTGTTTGTTAGTATTCCACTACCCCTCTTAATATGCCAGAGAACTGAGCCATAATCAAGTACTGAAGTGACACAGGCCAGGTAGAGTTGTCGAAGGGCATGACAGTGTAGCCCTCGCGTGGCAGACGCTAGGCTACGGATCCTACTGAAAGCTCCATTGGCTAGCTGCTGTCTCTTTTCCACATCTTGAAATTTAGCTTCCTATCAAACCAGATACCTCACCATCTGACCACCTCCTTTGGCTCTAAATTCGGAAGCCCGGGTAAGCTTAAGGTTGTATTTGGTCCCTGATATTGATGGCCAAAGTGGATCAGCTCAGATTTTTCCATCTCAAAATTTACTGACAACTTTTGTGCACCCTCCAACAGCTCCTCTGTAATTTCCTTCAGTGTCCTAATATCTTTATTGATTGAAGTTGATGACACTGAAATTGCAATGTCATCCATGTAGGACAGCTGAAGAAAGTTCTTCCTGTGTACAGCTGGAAGAAGATATTTGATGGAAAGGAGAAAAAGCATTGGTGATATTGGGCTACCTTGGGGAGTCCCAGTCACTGGAAACAGCTTGCTAAGTTGTCCATTGAAGTGAAGCTGCATTGTCCTTCCAGCTAGAAATGATTTGACCCAGGATATAAGACCTAGAGGCAGCTGTAAGGACCGCATTGTTTGGATTAGAGCTGCAGGTTGCAGCCTATCAAAAACTCCAAGGATGTCCAAGAATATTGTTGAAACCATTTGTTTGCTGGCCAGATTCTGCTCCACAAATTCCTGTAGCAACAGAGCAGCATCAATGACTGACCTCTGTTTACGACCTCCAAGCTGGCTAGAGTCAAGTATATCTGTTGTGTTAGCAATATATGACAATCTG